AATATGGAGAAGCAGACTCCTCACAGGGAGCCTGATGTGGGACTCGATACCCCCACCCAGGATCATGCCCTGAGCCTAAGGCAGACGCTCAATCACTGAGCTACCCAGGTGTCCCAGCACCGTCTAAAAGTTCCCCCAGATAATTCTGATGTTCGGCCAGAGAATCATTACTCCAAACTAATGGTTCTCAAACTTGAGTGTGCATCAGAATCCTGAGAGAGCGTGTTAAAACACAGACTTCCAGAGTTTCTGATCCCATAGGTCTGGGGTGGGGCCTGAGAATTTGCACCTCTTAGTTCTCAGGTGATGCTGATTTTGCTGGTGTGTGATCCACACTTTAACTCACTGTTCTATACTAAAATCTTAAGGTGTTTTTCCTGAAACACTGTGAAAAGTAGTAGCATGATACAAAGCAGTGTGATACAGTGGAAAGAGCACTAGTCTACAGCTCAAGAGACTTGAATTCTAGTCCTTAATTTGTTATCATTCAGCTATAGGACCAAAAGTCTATATGTCCAAAAGGCTATATATATGTCTTTCAAGTTTTTAAATTACCATCTCGTTCTGTTATTTGATGAACAAGTCTGTGAAATTAACACGGTCTTTCTAAAACATTAGTGGAAGATTTTTCTCTAGAATACAAGTTATGATTATGAAGAGATGACTATTTTAATCAACAAACCAGAGCTAATACATCCAAGCTAATATCTCCATTCCATGTCATCGCCATACACCTAAACCAATGATGCTGTCATTGCCCAAAATATTTCTAGAACTCTTTAATATACATCAAAGCCCTAGTTTTTAGGCCATGAGAAAAAAAGTCTTATTACTTTTAAAATCATACCTCATTGACCAAGTGTAGCAATTTTCAGGATTCTCACACACATAAACCACCAGATAGCCTCCCAAATGACCCTTGATTATTTCCAAAAACTAAAATTGCCTTCAAAGGACAGAATCTTAGCCATTAAGGGGAAGAAAATTCATTTGAGAACTTGATAAAAGATATGGAACCCTCCTCAGAAAAATACATTGGCATATAAAAAGAAATTGCCAACAATTTTAATCATGACATCAATTTATAAACTCTTAAGGGGCGCCTGGGTGACTCAGTCAGTTAAACATCTGCCTTCAGCTTGGGTCATGATCACAGCATCCTGGAATCAAGCTCCGCATTGGACTCCCTGCTCAGTGAGGGGTCACTTCTCCCTCTCCCTCCCCCTGCTTGTGCGCTCGCTCTCTCTCGAATAAATAAATAAAATCTTTAAAAACGAAAAAAGAAAAGAAACTCCTGATCTGGGTAAAGATATAAATCTTTATCAGAAAACCCCAATGTTGGGATCCCTGGGTGGCGCAGCGGTTTGGCGCTTGCCTTTGGCCCAGGGCGCGATCCTGGAGACCCGGGATCGAATCCCACGTCGGGCTCCTGGTGCATGGAGCCTGCTTCTCCCTCTGCCTATGTCTCTGCCTCTCTCTCTCTCACTGTGTGACTATCATAAATAAAAAAAAAAAAGAAAACCCCAATGTTCAGAAAAGACTTGGAAGAAAAAAAAAAAGAAAAGACTTGGAAGGAAGCATTTGGAGGCAACTGCTACGAAGGAAACAACTGCACAACAGGAAAAGCACTGGACTTTCCCAGTGTGAATAAGGCACCTCAAGATTTGGATTCTGATTTGGCCATGTCACAAACCAGTTTGGGGTTAAGAAGTCACTTTCCATTTAGTGTATATTTCCTCATTTGCAAAAATAAAGGCAAGAGAAAAAGGGACTGAGCTACATCAAAGCTTCTCTGTGTTCACTGGACCAGCAGCATTACCAAGGAAATCATAAAAATTCTCAGGGCCCAGTCAAGACCTACTGAGTCAGAAACTCTGGGAGTGGCGTCTGGCCATCTGTGTTTCAACAAGTCCTCCAGGGGATTCTGATGCACACTCAAGTTTAAGAATCACCAAGCTAAATAATCCCCCAAATCCCTTCAAGCTCTGATATTCTACAATTTGGAAAATCTAAACTACAGTAAGTTAAAATGCAAAACCAAAACCAATAGCCTGTCACAGCTTTAAAAAGAGTTCCTGAAAAAATTTCTAAGGATTATAAGAATCTCTATTTTTCCTTATGTCCCCCAGAGCATCCTTGCAAAACTCTTTATAAATAGTGGGTATTCAGATCTTTACCATGTGTGTCAATTTTGGCTAACAAAGAGCATTCTTGAACTCATAGGTAGGTGAGACAGAAAAATAACTGTTCATCTATTTTATTAAGATTTTATTTATTTAATGAGAGACACAGAGAGAGGCAGAGACACAGGCAGAGGGAGAAGCAGGCTCCTTGTGAGGAGAGGTACGTGGAACTCAATCCTAGGATGCTAGGGTCATGACCTGAGCCAAAGGCAGATGCTCAACCACTGATCCACCTAGATACCCCCGTTCAATTCATCTTTCACAGTTATTTCCCTCCTTCCTTCCTGCTACCCAAATTATTTCATGGCTTCATTAAGAAACAAAACAGTAAGGAAAACAGCTGGGTTTTGTTTTTATCTAAAAGCAATAGATATCTCACTTTTAATAAAAAATGTGCTCAAGATATACTATCAGGACTTACCCAAGCAATAATAAAAATAATTCTTCTACCTCAGTGCTAACAAAATGCAGAATGATTTTGAAAGAAAAAAGACTGGGCAGCCCTGGTGGCACAGCGGTTTAGCACCGCCTGCAGCCCAGGGCGTGATCCTGGAGAACCTGGATGGAGTCCTGCATCGGGCTCTCTGCATGGAGCCTGCTTCTCCCTCTGCCAGTGTCTCTGCCTCTCATTCTCTCTCTGTGTCTCTATGAATAAATAAATAAAATCTTTAAAAAAAAAGAAAGAGGGATCCCTGGGTGGTGCAGTGGTTTGGCGCCTGTCTTTGGCCCGGGGCGCGATCCTGGAGATCCAGGATCGAATCCCACGTCAGGCTCCCGGTGCATGGAGCCTGCTTCTCCCTCTGCCTGTGTCTCTGCCTCTCTCTCTCTCTCTGTGACTGTCATAAAAAAAATAAAAAAAAGAAAAAAAAGAAAGAAAGAAAGAAAAAAGACTAATGGTTATGGTTTTGATTTCAAGCAAGTAAACCAGTTATTTGACATTAAGGAATTTTTTTATTTGTGGAGGTATATGCTCATATTTATATATAAAAGAAGAGTGTCCTTTTAAAATCTGACACTGAAACAATTAAAAATGAAATTACCATCCAGGGTATCATTAGGAGTTCAGCTAAGGTGTCTGGAGGTGGAAGCTAAAAGAAACAAGAATGGCCATGAGGGAAGAGTGGAAGTAGATGTGGGGATTCATTTTACGGTCTTACTTGATGATTTTTTTTATTTTTTTTTATTTATTTATGAGAGAGAGAAAGAGAGAGAGAGAGAGAGAGAGAGAGAGAGAGGCAGAGGGAGAAGCAGGCTCCATGCACCGGGAGCCCGATATGGGATTCGATCCTGGGTCTCCAGGATCGCGCCCTGGGCCAAAGGCAGGCGCCAAACCGCTGCGCCACCCAGGGATCCCTTACTTGATGATTTTTATAAGACAAACGTGAAAATACATAAATTCAGTTATCTGCTGTTTTTAAAAGAAAAACAAGCATATGAGATCCTGGCAACCAGATGAACAAACTGAAGTGTTAAAAATGTTATTTAACCATTACAAAGGGAAATAACATTGTACCTAAATCTAGTATCTATCAACCTATTACTAAGAAACACAGATAATGTAATATAAAAACACCACTTAACCAGGAGATTCAAACTAATTGGGAAAGGGCAGAGGATTGTCAGTCTCAAGTAACAGTGACTCTATTAAGGCTCCCACATCACAAGAGTAAAGAAACACACTAAGCAGTTTTGAAAAATGGAGTCTTTAAGAAATCTTATTCATAGTCCAATGAAATACTCAATATTTGAGAAGTTTCTCCATTAAACCACCAAAGTCCCAACTTTGGTAGTGGCTTTATTAAAGTAGAAAAGTGAAACACAGCTTGTTCTCCCTCTCACACCAATCACCTACAATAGTTAACTGTGGGCAGCAATTTGGAATCACTGGTTACTGTTCACTGGTAAGATGAGGATAGTGACCACTACATAAAACATCAAATCTCTAGATTGTTCAGTGGAATTTCCTGTGATGGTGGTGTTCCTCTTGTTATATGTGGCTACTGGGTACTCGAAGTATTGCTAATGGGACCAAGGAACTAAATTTCAAATTTTATTTAATTCATTTAAATAGCCACATGTGGCTAGTGGCTACCACAGTGGACAGTGCAGTTCTAAAGTACCTAAGAGAAGAACTACACACACACACACACACACACACACACACACACACACATACACACACACTTCACTTAATAGCTAACTCACATTTATTAAAAATTGAAGATTACAGAAAAGCATAAGATTTGCTTTATTAAACAAGCTCAATTAATTTACCTTCCACTAATAAATGAAAGTATTTAATATCACAAAAGGAACTTTGAAATAAGGTTGATTTCAACCTCTGAAATTAAAAGAAAAGCAGCTAAGACGTTTTCAGGAGAGCAACCACAGACCTCCCTCTAGTGGCAAGAGATAGAGTTGCTGCTGAAAGTTGAATTGCTTCTGAAACTACAGAAAACTGCTCACATTTTTCTAGAATTACAACCTAAAAAGACTCTAGATTAATATATAAGGAAAATAGATCTCATTTTTGTAAACAAAAGACAGACCTAATTTTCACATACAATGAATGCTACTCTCCCTAGAAATCTGATCTCTCCAGAAAAATGATTTGCCAAGGACATTTGGGAAATTCTGGCTTTCACAAAACAAAAGTTTATGGATCCTTAACCAAACTGTGAGCAAAAGAGAGGAGACCTAATTCTTTTCTGTTGATAAATGTTCTGGGATGGAACATGTAGAGGAGTGGATTCTGAAGTATAAAGTGGTAAGCAGCAGTGGGGTTTGAAAAAGCCCATGGTACATCAAAAGAAACAATTAAAATATTACAAGAGTTTTTAATACCCAAAACAACACTGTTCAGTCTGATATTCAGCTTCAAAAGACAATTCTGCCACATTTCCCATTTTAAGTACAACCATACGTACACATTTAGATTTAACTACAGAACTACTACTTTCAAGTACAAGAAGGAACTCAAAATAGAAACGACTTGTGTTACAGCTATTGTATTTCCTTACACTTTTCAGGAAAAACAGCCTTTATATACACTGTAGTAAGTACAGAATGTACAGAAGACAGTTATATATACAAAAGTGCATTAATATAGTAATACATTTAGCAGAAATACAGGAAAAAAATCCTGGTTAACAATCTGATACGTTACAGTATTTAAGACTACTTGAAGATTCTCCAAACCAGCCAACTTCCTACTTGCTTTGGTTATGATATTGATGCTACAAAACTAACCTTTGAAACTAAAAAAAATGAAATTTTTAACCATCTGTCAAATGTTTTACATATACTTGTAATTATCTTTAATAGCTTTTGACAACAGTCCTATTAAACTCCCAACACAAAGATTCAGAATGGATAATACCTATACCTAAATTAGAGTTCTCAAAGAGGAAATAAAATTGATCCACTATACGAACAGAAATAGTCTGCTCCATTCCTAAAAGCCTCAGCTAGATAACCTAACCCCAAAGTCCAAACTTAAATCTAATTGGTCAGCTACTATTGAAGAGCAAGCAGCTCCAGAAAACAAGCCATGGCTTCAGGCTACTGTTCCTTAGAACAAGTCAGAATAGGTAAGTGTTAACTTGTCATTTATACATATTAATTCTACAACTACCTTTATATAGTCAAAATGCATATGTATAATTGGAGCAATTCTCTTTTCTACCCCTACCCCTCACCACAAAAAAACCCACAGATTTCCACAGATTCCACTGACCACAAAGATGTAACAAACTTGACAATAAAGAAAAAAATACTATATATTAAAATCAAAGAAGACTAAACCAGGTTTTCAGAGTTCAGTATGAATGCCAAATTAAAAATTAACTTACCACCATGTGATCTAGGTTAAAACATTAATAAACTTAATTTAAAATAAAATTGTGAGGGGGGCTGAAAATAAATAATTTTAATATTAGAAAAAATATGAAAATAAAATTTTAGTGAGTCAACTCTGATATGCAGCAATAGCATGCAACTTCTGTACTCTATTAATAGCCGGTTAATTAGAGGACTCTTTGGAGTTCCTTCTGAGCCTTAGGAATAAGTCAATTATTTTCCACAGAAATGAGATTTAAGCTAGAATTCGAAGGAGCTATGTTCCAGATACTATACTGACAGAGATGCCTAGGTCTAAATATCTTTCAGAAGTTTCTCACCCACTTAGCATAATTCCATTGTAAAGATAGAATTTATCTTACTTTGTCAGACTTAAAATGAATCTAAAGTTACCATGATACATGTGTATACAAATACTTATTTTCTAACTAATAGTCCTTTTAAGGATTAGATTTACCTCTAAGTTTAGAAATGTTGAATGGCAGTGTGCTCACCATCAATACCATATTTGAATAGGACTGGGAATTCTCCTATCAACTGTCTCAAACTATAAACTGACTTTCAGTAATCCCCTCCCGATTCTAAGCAAACATTTCTTGAAGACAGAAGAGCTAATAGGTAATTTGTTAAAGGGGAGGGGAGCATTCCAGCTATTACACAAATGAATGCAAAGAATCCCTAAAGTTATAACAAGGGAATCAAGCTGCTATATTATCTCTGTTCTTGAAGTGCTTTTGTCTTGAATATTATCTCTCCAGACACTAAGAATTATCTGGTTTTAAAAAAAGCATTCTGGCTTATGACCTTTTTCAGGGGAAAAAAATGAGAGAGTACATTAAGCTATACTTTAGATAACTTTCAATGTTCTTCAGTGATCAAGGTGGGCCACAAATAAAGTCATGTTAATGAAATTTAATATCTGAAAGATTAGTGTTTTGTTAATACGCTCTATTGTCACTGACTGGTTCAATTTAACGGTTTTGCTTACTGATATCCAACAGCAAGGACATTTTAGAAAACAAATTACAATGTTTAGATTTTTTTTGAGTTTGAAAAAGCCTGATATTGAGAAAAAGTATAGAATTCACCTTTAAGGCACATGAGGCTATTAAAAAGTAAGCCATGAACGAAAATCTCTGCTAGAGAATCTGGAAACAGGACTTCTCTATTTGTCATGTACTAATAACATTTTTGGCTTTAAATATGAAGATATTTGAAAACTTCACTAATTTTAAAGCTCATCAGAATCTGGATACCTTTATACAGTAGTTTCTAGGAATTTTTCCTTTAAGAGGGAATTAACACTTATAAGAGTTAAATAAAATGAGATGTCCACCCAATCCATAGAGTCATTAAATTACAAGTCAGTTTCTGGGATTAATTCAGCAGTATCTATCTAGTTAATCCAAAGGGCTAAGGAAATGGACAAAACTGCCCCAGCCTAACAAAAGATACAAGTCTCATGAGGGACGCCTGGGTCGCTCACCGGTTAAGCATCTGCCTTCAGCTCAGGGTGTTATCCAGGAGTCCTCGGATAAAGTTTCACATCAGGCTCCCTGCATGGAGCCTGATTCTCCCTCTGCCTGTGTCTCTGCCTTTCTCTCTCTGTGTCTCTCATGAATAAATAAAATCTTTAAAAACAAAAAAGATAAGTCTCATGAGAAAAAGTGTCATTTTATTCTAAGTTCTTGTTCGGGCAGAATGAACTACCCTTTATATACCACCTAACAGTATACTACTTTAATTCAGTTGTAAAATTGTAGAAAAAGACATGCCATCTTATTTAATTCAAGGTTCATACCTATGGTAGGGACTGACAGACTTCTACAAGAGCTCTTTTTTCCAGTTTTATTGATATATAATTAAACATACATATAAGATCTCTAATAAAATGTTCTACAAAGAATCTGAGGGAAATTATTATGCCCTAAGTTAACAAGGGTTGTGTTTAAAGGGGAAGAAACTTATTTGCTCCAGTGTCAGTTCTCTACAGATGCTCTACACTGGAGCAAATGAGTCTCACATTTTTATTAATAGGTTAGATTTATTTTTAAAAAGAAAAAATAGTGAGTTGGATTGGTCTTAAACTCAGATATACCAGACTAAATAAATTATTACTTATTCCAAGAAAGAATTCAAACTTGAATTATCTACATGAGATATTAAAAAAGAAAAAAACACAGTATAGCCCATTAACAAAAACAAAACTTTTTGTCTTTTACTGCTGGGTTTTTTTTCTAATGTCAGGAGAGATGGAGAAAGACTTGATAATCTCCCTCTCCCACATCATAAGCAAACCCAAGTTGTTTTAATTTTTTCTTTTAATTAAAAGAATTATTTTCAATCTCCTCTAAACCAACTTTATGGGCAATCTCTAATTTATAGTAAAGACAGTGCATACAGATTTACATAAAATTTCATGGCATACTTTACTATAAAAACTCAAATCCTTATAAACTTTTAAAATTGGCTTTGCGGTACTTTGGTAAACTTGTTTCATAGCGACTTAAGTTAAATCTAAGGTAATAAGACTATGTGACTGTTGGGAGAGTAGAAAAATTGATCTTATTATATCATGACCATGTTAGGATTTTCTTTTACTGGTCAATTGTTTCCAAGTATTTAACAGATAAATGCTGCTCTATGGTCTCCAAAAGTGGCCTGTTTTCCTGGAAGAGTAGGTAAAGAGAACAGATAAATCATTCTCCAGATTTTGCTTTTGCTAAGAGCAGGCAGAAAATTCAGCTGTATTTGCTCTTCTCTCCTTCTTACTTGGAAGGGAAAACACAATGAGGTTGACCCTTTCCACTTTCCTCAAAGTATTTTCGGGTCCTACCTCAAGCTTTCTTTGGGCCCTCTAAGCTGGTTAGGAGCATCTAAGAAAGGGTAAAAGGAAAGTCAGAGGGAGTACTCCAACTGATAACCATATATACATACTTTCATCTTAGTAAAATTTTAAAGTATAAATTTAGTAGTCTTCAAAATCTCATAACCATACCACAGATCTCAGCAAAGCTGCAAAATACATCACTTTTCATCCTCAGTTTCAATTCTTTAACCTTCAAGGAAGTAAAGTAAAATCAGGTTTTCAAAACACGATTGCAAGCAAAGGTTTTTATCAACTGAGAATTAACGATTTAAGTCAATCTCTTTCTTAATGAGTTATTTGATATGATAGTTTAAAAAAGTAAAAATCCTATCATCCTCTGACTCTAGAGTTTAAAAAAATATTGATCACAACTCCTCCTACAGAATTATGATTACCTCCCAAAAGTTATCCACAATAAAAAGAAAATCATGAAAATCAGAAAGCAGCTTGATTGTCAGTAGTACCAGTTTCCATCTTCTTTAACCCATATGAGTGTTTAAAGACATGTGGTAGAAGAAAAGGAATCACACTACTTCTAGTGTTCATGATAACTCTATGAAAACATTTAAAGAAACTCCATGATTTCACATCTACAATTAGACTTCTATTAAGAGCCAACAAGCTCAGGATTTTTTTTCCTATTATCTCACTGTTCTGTGTATTTCTGGTGCTTTAAAGAGAAGTTTCGGAGAACTGTAAGGGTTTTCTTTAGTTAACTTTGAACATTTACCGGTTTACATGCCAGAAGCTGTTATACCAAATATTTAAAAATCAGAGCTGTGCTGGAAAAAATGACCTACAAAAGAACTTAAGATACAGTTCCTGCCTTTGAGACAGATTCACACCCTAAAATTTCAGGAAGCAGCAGAAAAGCAGAATTGGATGTTTTGCTTAATTGCTTCCTCCATTTGAGTATTAATCAATATAGCATCAAGTCTAAAGTTCAGCTACTAGTAACATTTCCTCAGTAGTAATCACTTACAAAAGGATTCTGAATTTACAGAAAGTGAAAAACAAATCTAACAGGAAAGACATTAGTGCCTATTTTTACACATTTGAGTTAACAAATGAAAACAGAACTAAAGCTAATGAAGGCACTATTGTAAACAGCAATCCACACCCCACCCCCCACAACCTCAAAAAAAGATGTCTACTAAGAATTAAGAATTATGCTATGGCCTTTAGAAAAAGCAAACTGAGGAACTGTAACATTAAGAAGGAAGCTGAATTATGATCGCTACAGATATACCTATACTGACATAATAAACTACTTGTCAGCAGTAGCTTGAAATCTTCCGAACTGTAAACGTACTAGCTCTTGAAAAAGCCCACTTAACCACCCTAATGTCTAAACAGTCAAAACATTTACTAAATTAGTGGTTCTTAAAACTAGAGCTGCGTGCAGCAAAATAATCTGGTGGTTGTTAAAACACAATGCTGGGCCCCTCCCCCGGGGTTTCTGATTCACTGCATCTGGAATGGGGCCTGGTAGTATGCATTTCTAACAACTTCTCAGGTGATGCTGAAGCTGCTGGTCTGGGGACCACCTGCTGAGAACCACTGGACTTAAATATTAATGGTACATCAGCACAGCCCTAACCAAAAGTTTGGTCAAAATGCATGTAAACAAATAAAAGGATAGAACACTTTAACGCCTAAAAAGAATGCCAATAAATTCATCCTTATTACATCAAAACATCTACATCTGCTTCATGGTCTTCCTCAGTCACTTTCAAGGACAGCACTTCTTCATTAAGGAAGAGCCCACTGAGCCTCTCCTTTCGAGCCTGCCTCTGCTCTTTCAGCTGCCTCTTGCGCAAAGCCTTCTGCTGTAACTTCCGCTGCTTGGATCGCTTCTGTCAAAATAAAAATTTCTAAATCAGTAAGGTTCAGTTCTGACATACCCATCTCAGAATTTTTTAGGGATCAAATTCTGTATTTTCAGAATATTTGGAGATGTTCAAATTCCTCTGCAGTATGATCCTGGTTCCAGTAAGTGAGCCACTGGAATGAACTGAGGGAAATGATGCCTCAAGATTCTATTTTTATGGTATTTGACCAGTGAATCTTAGGAAGGACTGAAATTTGATCATTTTGATTAGTTATAGATAATCAATCATTCCAAAGCCTTTTTTAACCAAATTAAGGTACATGGGTGTCACTGCAGAGTGAACACATAATAAACAATACTGAATGCCAACATAGAGAACATTGCCAAAATCTCTAATGCTTATGCTTTTAAGGTATCTTTCATTCAAAAGCTCTAGCAACTTACAATGGCAGGAAAGAATAACGTCTTCTCCATATTAGGCAAACACCATCTTAAAAGCCCATTAGAAACCCAGTGGGTGCTCTTCCTTGTCACTGGTGAACTGATGCAAGAAAAAAAGAATGAAGAATATCTAGAGGAATACCCTGGCAACCAACAAAGATGGCTATGTTTCTACTTTGGTACAAGCCAGGGAAGGAATCACTGTGTATCTTCTAGTCACTACTGGGTTCCCAAAGACTTATGAGATACCCTTTTTATCTTTAAGTTGGCTCCAAACTGTCACCACTGCAAGGAACTGAACTTACCTAAAGCATCACAAAAACATTCTAAATACACTACACCTCCCTATTTTTTTACGTGCCCAATATTATCACAAAGAATTCTTCAACTGTAAATAGACAGAAATTAGAGAAGGTGTTCTTATATTTTTAAAAGATCTAATAAACATTCAAGATTAAAACATTAAGAAAACATTTAACACATACACACGACATGCAGAACATTGCTAGGAGCTAATAGACAGCAACATCAGCAACATAGTGAGACCTGCTCAGTAGTGAGTTAGTCAATATTGCAATCTTGAGACTCACTATTTCCATCAATTTATTTACTTAAAACAGACACAAAAATCAGATAAAATTGAATGTGATATGGGTGTGGGTCAAAACAGTATTTCAAAGCACTCAGCCTGAAGGGCTTTACTCAAGCAGAGTATCCTGCTTGTTCAACTAAAGCCAAAACCCACAGGCATCTAGAAAGCAAGATAATTTTAACTCTTCAAGAAATTTATATGAAGAAGTACTAATGTTAATATTGAAAGGTAAAGTTTTGTATTGATTAGACATTTTACTTTTGAATCCCGAATCCGTTCTGCTGCACTTGCAGACAAGTTGCTGTCACTGTGTGCTCGACTCATGTTGGCACTGGAGTTTGAAGCAGAGTTTCCAACACTGGACCCACTGCTGCTTGCAGAACTGACCATGCTGGCACTGCTGCTGCTGGCGCTGGCACTGGCACCGCTCACTCCACTGGTGCTTGCACAACTAAAGTTGCTTCTCTTCCAGGCCTCTCTTGCAGGCCTTTGGCGAGGGCTATGCTCCTTGATATAGTTTCTGACCTTGGAACACACAAACACTGGTTAGTGTTGTTCCCTGACATTCTACCTGAAAATACTGGAGAAAAGAATATTGTACATAATGTAAAACATTATCAAAAGTGCTACAGATATGCTCATCAGCAGGGAAATACAAATCAAAACTATAATGAGATACCCCTCACACCCATCAGAACGGCTAAAATCAACAACACAAGAAACACCAAGTATTGACAAGGATGGGGAGGAAGAGGAACCCTCCTGCACTGTTGGTAGGAATGGAAACTGGTGCAGCCACTCCAGATAACAGTAAGAAGGCTTCTCAAAAAGTGAAAAATAGTACTATCCCACGATCCAGAAATTGCACTACTAGGTATTTACCTGAAGAATACAAAACTAATTCAAAGGGACACACGCTTCCCCTAGGTTTGTACCAGCATTATCAACAACAGTAAATTATGGAAAGAGCCCAAATGTCAATCAACTTATGAATGCATAAAGAAGATGGTGTGTGTGTGTGTGTGTGTGTGTATATATATATACACACATAGTGGAATATTACTCAGACATAAAAAAGAATGAAATCTTGCCATCTGCAGCAATGTGGATGGAGCTAGACAGTATTAATCCTGGGTAAAATAAGTTAGTCAGAGAATGACAAATATCATATGATTTCACTCATATGTGGAATTTAAAAAGCCAAACAAATGAGCATAGGGGGAAAAGAGTGAAGAGAAACCAAGAAACAGACTCTTAAATACGGAGAACACACTGATGGTTACCAGAGGGAAGGAGGGTGAGGGGATGAGTTGAATAGGTGATGGGGATTAAACAATGCACTTGTGATGAGTACTGGCTATTATACCTAAGTGCTGAATCACTAAATTGTACATCTGAAACTAATATTACACTGTATGTTAACTAATTGGAATTTAAATAAAAACTTTAAAAAAAAAAGATTGGATCTTGAGATAAAACAAGACATTGGTTGAAAATCGAGTATAACCTGAATACAGCCTATAGATTATTTAATAGTACTGTATCTATGTTCTTGCTTTTGAGGAGTATACCCCCAAAAAAAGAACTTGGATTGTAACAGATGTTTAACAAATCGAGTAAAAGACAGTAATTATAAAGAAATAAAAATAACATTTATTGTTTTATAATATGATTGTATCTGTATTATAATACAGATTTATGATCTTGGATTATAACCTACATTGATTTCTTTGGCTCTTTCTTGAGTTGTAGACACTGTGAAGACAAGGATCATTTTTTAAACTCTTTTGTATCCTAATATTTAATACATAACAGACACTTAACATTGTTAAATAAATCAAATAAAAAACTGCTACAGATGTACATAAGTAGACTATAAGGATGAAAGAAATCTCTAAATGTACAAACAAGTACTAGAAAAATTGACATTGTTCAAAATTCTAGGATATATATTATGGAGCTATATTTTTAAAACATATAAAATAATCAGCAAATGGAAGGCTACTAGCCTCCAGAATTTAGGATTCTAAGAAAATAACACTCAGGGTGCTGGGTGGCATAATCGGTTAGGTGTTCAGCTCTTGATTTCAGCTCAGGTCCTGATCTCAGGGTCATGAAATCAAGCCCTGCGCTGGGCTCTGCACTGAGCATGGAATTTGCTGAAGTTTCTCTCTTTCCCTCTGCCCCTCCCACTGCTCGCTTGCTCTAAAAAATAAATCCTAAAAAAAAAAGAAAATAACACTCAGAGAAACTAACAACAGAACAAATCAGATTAGGCATTTTTTAAAGGTCTCAATATGATTTAAGTAAGCTCCTGATTATATCTAAGATTAGGGTGTTTCCTAAATCTTAGCTAGGGGCCCATGGTACCTGTCTTCAAATGCAGGGCATCAATTTCAATACTAATAGAAAATGAGCTGGAATGTAAAAATTATAGTATGTCTGTTGAGAGAAATACTGAATAAAAACATTTTTACAAGCGATGATAAATGCAAAAAAAAAAAGCTTTTAAAAAACGAAAATAGAACATAAGTATTCATTCACCTATGTACCAAAGAAAAATGGAGATAAAGAAATGTGTATTTCAAAATAGCTGAATGAAAATTACATTTTACCCTACACAGGCTCAATTACTCCATAAGATTACTCAAATCTCCCAATTCAGATGTTCACTCGAGTATAGATAGCTCTCAATAATCAGTGTTTTGATTCTGTCAATCACTCTTTTTAAAGGTGAGTTAAAATAAATAGCATAACCATCCCTTAAGTGGTAAAATTAAGTTTCAAAGCCTACACAACTAAACAGCAGGTCCTAGATCCACATGATCCCAGAAAGGTATTGCCAGGTGAGATGTACCTAAAACCTTACAACCATGTGCTCTCAAATATTGCCATCATTTTTTCTAATATTACATCTCACAGCAGTGATTTAGACCTTAATTATTTGTGTATTTTAACATACGATTATCCAAGTCTACATTTTATAAAATAATGGTTTTGTTAATAGCTATACAATCTGTATTTTCTTTACATACCTGCTTCAGTTTTTCATCTGTGAGACAGTTAAGTTCAATAATAAACTCACTGTCCGTAGGGGAAATTTGAGCCGAAGGATCAATTATTTTTATAATATCAAGTTGCTCCCGAAGACCCATCTCCGTACTGACTTTACGACTCAGATACTCAATATATTCCACCTATGTGATGAAAAATTATAATAAACAAGATCAATGCCAAAACTTCTGATATTTTAATGTCATTTATAATGTGTTTCAAACATCAAAAGCACTTATGATATTTGTTCCCTGCAAAAACAGTTAAAGCCCTCACTCAGATTTTACTAGGCAATCCACATTTACCTAGTAGCTTTAAATAGGTAATACACTGAGCTTCATGTAATCTCTACATATATGCTTTCAATTAAGAATGTCAAGATCCAGGCAGCCCGGGTGGCTCAGCAGATTAGTGCCGCCTTCAGCCCAGGGCGTGATCCTGAGGACCTGGGATCAGGTTCCACGTCGGGCTCCCTGCATGGAGCCTGCTTCTCCCTCTGCCTGTGTCTCTGCCTGTGTGTGTGTGTCCCTCATGAATAAACAAATAAAAAAATAAAATCTTTAAAAAAAATGTCAAGATCCCTACCTGCTCATCATTTGTCATTGCACTCCAAGGAAGTTCATCTAAATTCCGGTGCTTATTTTTCTTTTTAGGAAGCAGGCAAGGTGAACTCGGAATACTGGGTATGACATCAGAAAGTACATCACTCCCACTAGCAATGTCACTGCCTGGTAACTTTATAAAAATAAGAAGGGGGTAGGAAAAGCAAAATTTTTCAAAAATACACTTTAAATAGCACAACATATTACATATTGATTAAAAATTACATTTTAATGACAAATACAGAATAACGAGACATTAATTCTGATTCACTCCTATTTTAGACAAAGCAGCAACATCAACATATTCTTTCTATACAGTCACTTGTTGAATGAGATATTTCCCAAAATCTTAAATTCATAATCAAGACTTGTTAATAAAATGCGAACTTAAGAGTCAATCATCATTAGGGTTTTTATTTCACAATGTGAATGTAGGCTAGGGGTTATACAGCATGATGAATAAGGAACATTGGATTCCATCTCAGGAGATGGGAAGGATCTGCCATGACTTGGCATTTTGCTCAACACTATGCTGGAAATACTGCCAATATAAAGACAAATAAGCCATGGTCCTTGTGCTCAAGTCAGTATTAACAACCTCAAGGCAATTAAAATAATTTAAAATATGCTGTTAATATAGAGCAAAAACACTTTAAAGATCAGAGTTTTATGACAGAAAAATTAGAAAAAATACTGAGACAATGGATAGACAAAGGAGAAAAGTGAGAAAGACTAATACACAGAAAATCAGTTTAAAGTGAGATGAACACCAAAAATAAGTGTTATAATTTTTATATTGTCTATTATAAGCCAGTTAGAACGGATTTAATTTTTTAGCAATTATCTTGAGTCCAAAGGGATACAAAGAATAGTACATATCTAATATATATAATTTGAGAACTTTGGACATATGCATATGCCCATGAAACTATCACCACAATCAGGGTAATAAACATATTTGTCACCTCCACAAGCCAGAATGGATTTAATTTTAAATAAATGTGTTTAGAGACACCTGGCTGGCTCAGTTGGAGGAGCATGCAACACTTGATCTGAGGGTCATAAGTTTGAGCCCCATGTTGTGTGTAGAGATATACTTAAATAAATAAACTTTTTAAAATAAACAAGTAAATTTAAGTCATTCATCCAAAAAATAATTTCTTCTACAAGTAGTACATAATTTTAAAAGATAAATGCTTTCATTTTTACAAGGTACAAAATACCACCTTTTTGTTGTTGTCCTTTGCAATTGCATCTCAACTCTGGATGATTTACTAGGCTTTTGAAGTTACCAAAAGATAAAAGCTACTTTAGCCATGAAGATTATTACACTCACACACCTGGCCTCCTACCATACCTGTATCATTCTAATAGGTACAGGGGATTCAAAGGATTTTAAGTCATGGTCCTTATACAAAAACTCCTACTGGGGAAGATAATATTATAACACAAACATTCAATTATACAAAATAGCAAATGACAAATGCTAGATTTGAAATGACAGATCATCAACAAAAATATCTAGCAGTGAGTTAAAGCTGCAGGATTAAAACTTAGAAGAGCTATAAGGTGACAGGCAATGGGGAGTCAACTGCATAGAAGAGACTAACGAAGACACAGAAATAGGGTTGATCACTATGCAAGGTGACCATGATGCTTAGAATGAAATTCTCTTAAGTTAGCTACTAATGTTAAAAACCACATTTTCATTTTAATAGTCACTGATAAGTCCAAGTACATAAATGACTACCAACAATTTGTATGACTTCCATTAAAATCTCATTAACATTGCTGGAATTGTTCATTCACCCTTAGCCCTGATGTTATCTAGTCAGTGTCATGAGAGAATGATTGCTGAATAGATGAAGGTCATCTTTCAGGCTTTAATGTCAAAAATGAAAATGTTTTGCTACTTTCCCTTTGAAAGATTTCAAATCACAACACTACTTACATTAAAGATCTCCCTGGGGTTCCTAAAACAAAATGAAACAGTCCATATCAGATGAAAGGCCTCCTCTACTTCAAGCTCCTTTGATGTATTAGGTAAAGGAACTATCAAAATATGTAGACTCTCAAAATTTAAGAAAAATGTTTATCTAAATCTTTAGTGAACATCTGCTAGGTAACAGACTATATGTTAAGCATTTAATTTGTGCCTTTGGTTCTGTTTATGCGTTTGCTGGGGTTGGGGGATGGCAAATAAAGCAACAGTGGTTCTTTGGCCATTTTCTTCAGGGAGAAGTAAAAGGATGCCAGAGTTAAATCCCAGTTCTACTGCTCACTAGCCAGGTGATCTTATGGAAGTTAGTTTTCTTCTTTGAGCCCCAGAGTTATGGTTAATGCCACCTATCTCAAAGGATTGTTGAGAAATTTAAATGAGGTGATAGGCCTGGCACAAGGCAACACTCAATAAGCATGTGTTTTCCATCTCTTTCCATAATTTTGTATCCTTTAAATGGTAGCAAAAGCCATCAGAGAATGCCACATGCTGCTAAAGTGGGTGAAGTTTCAAAAGGTAGTCTCAGAATTACAGAATGGGGAAAAGGAGAAGGCATTCAAATAAGGAGAATAACTTGGTAAAACCACAGATTTAAAGAAAATAGGATGAGGATAAGGAGACCAATATAATTAAAACAGAAAGTCAATGCTAGGGATTTGAAAGCTCAATGGATGAACAAGCTGTTATATGATATGCAGATGTAGGCCAGTAACATTTTCTAAGTAGAAGTAACTTGATGGAACTAGTCTTGAGGGAAGATGAGTTAAAAAGCAGTATGGGGACAAAACAGAGTGAAGAAAGACTGGAATCAGACAGGAAGTTCTTATTTGATCTAGATTTGGACTATGATAAACAACAATGCAAAGAAAAACGGGAATAAATAGGGAAAATTTCAAATGAAAAACAATGTACAAGGCTGGTTTTTTAAGATTTTATTTTTAAGTTATCTCTACACCCAACATGGTGCCCAAACTCAAAACCCTCAGATCAAGAGTCACATGCTCTTCTGACTGAGCCAGCCAAGTGTCCCTAACAAGGCTATTTGATAACTGAATGGATAATAGTCAGGTGACTCCGTTGAAACCAGAAGAAAACTGGCCACATTTTACAGTCATACAACCCTCCAAGGTTAGTGCACTTAAAGAGCTCGATTTTTTTAAAAAAATAGCAAGAGACCTAAGGCAATGTTACAGATCTTCTAGTCCAACACACTCATTTTATAAATAAGGAAAAACCATGTCTAAGGAGACATCCTGATGTCATATAGCTAGTGTCAGTATCCAAAGCAGGATACAAGTCCAGTGTTCACAACTATGCTGGGCTGTCTTGCCTTGCAGGTAGTTTGGAATGAGAGAAGAATGCAATTGGCATATGAAGAGTTTGTAGCCATAATGAAAGAAATGCAAATATCCTTCAAAATAACAATAGTCATTTTTCACTACACTGTAAGACATGTCACAAAATGGAGTCTATTTTTTTTTCCCATGGAAACACTGTAATTGGAAGTTACATTACTGATCAAGGATTCAGCATCAGATAATAGGTACATTAAATAATAAGGTTATCGAAGTGGAAATGTCAAGTAGTCAATTGGAGATACGGGATTATAATTGTAGATATACATTAGAATCAACTGTATGGGCTCCTGTATATTTTATTAGATCAGCAATTTTCCATTTTATATCTCAAACTGAAAATGCTTAATAATTCTTATCCCATATTTTTCATGGACAATAATATTTAGTATATATTATAATCAGTTATTGTGAAAGTAGGGACAATTAAATCAAATCTCTGCCGTATTTTCTGCAGTATGCAGCAAAATTTTATACGCTCATTTCTGGAACAGCTGATGTGTAATTTCAAATTGCACCTTTAGGTTTCAAGTGTGACAGCTGAATTAACTCTTTAAATTTTCTATGGTTCCCTGCTCAACAGTAATTTCTCAAGCTCTAAGACTAGTCAAATATATCTTTAATAATAAAAGGACTGCAAGCAAAGAAAACTATCAGAAAAGGAAAATGCTTTGGTGCTACTTCACTATAAGGTTAAAACCCTGCATTATCAAGTAGTTAGTATTTCTCTTCCCAGAGAATCTATAAATCCTTTATATTTACTTTAGTAGTAACTGAAACATGTTAAAAGATTTAAATGGATGTAGTTTTTAATCACAACAGAGGTAATCAGAATTTTTTAGTTAACAATTTTAATCTATATATTAATCCTAACAGCTAATTTGTAATTATCTTCTTGGATAATTCACTGCTCATCATTACACAAGGCCCCATAGAGACAAGAGAGCATGTTAAATCTTTCAGAATATTTAAATAATAGATCAAATAATAAATAATAATATTATTTAAATAATATTTAAATATACATGGTGACAGAGTAACTACACTCCAATTTCAGAAGTTGGGAAACACATTACTAAGGCAGGCCTTATTTTTGTTCAAATGTTATAGTCAGTCCTATACATTAATAGTGAGTAGTTGGGAATAGTTTTCCACTCTAACTTCTTATGAAATGAGTGAAGAATTCAGAAACTAAAATTTAAAAAACGCCTGCCACTTTGCAACATTATGGCTATGAACTCTAAGTTAAATAATCAGAAAAAATAATTCTCAGAATTATCAGAACTCCATCCAATTATACTTTATTAAGTATCCTTACAGGAGTCTGATTTTAAATACAAAGTATGCACTTTAAAAATGAGGCACAGAATAAAAGGGTACCCACACAAAGATTTTCACTGCCATGTTACCAATAATAGAAAAAAATTTTTGAACAGATGTAAAAAGGGAATGGTCTCACAAGTTCTGGCACATCTAGTACCAGGAATATTATATAGTCATTAAGAGTCATTATGAATACCATGAAAAAGTTTATATGTTAAATGAGAAGTGTATTACAGTTCGTTATCCAGAAGAAAAGGGAATACTTCCTAACCCATTCTATGAGGCTAAAGCAATACAAGATACCACAAGAAAACTACAAACTAATATCCCTTATGAAGGCAGATGCAAAAATCCTCAAAAAAATACTAACAAATGGGGATCCCTGGGTGGCGCAGCGGTTTGGCGCCTGCCTTTGGCCCGGGGCGCGATCCTGGAGACCCAGGATCAAATCCCACATCGGGCTCCCGGTGCATGGAGCCTGCTTCTCCCTCTGCCTATGTCTCTGCATCTCTCTCTCTCTCCATCATAAATAAATAAAATTTTTTTTTTAATTTTTATTTATTTATGATAGTCACACAGAGAGAGAGGGAGAGAGAGGCAGAGACACAGGCAGAGGGAGAAGCAGGCTCCATGCACCGGGAGCCCGACGTGGGATTCGATCCCGGGTCTCCAGGATCGCGCCCTGGGCCAAAGGCAGGCGCCAAACCGCTGCGCCACCCAGGGATCCCAATAAATAAAAATTTAAAAAAATACTAACAAATGAAATCCAGCAGCATATTAAAAGGCATATATACCATGACCAATTAGGATTTATTCAGGGATGCAAGGGTGAGTCAACATACAAAAATCAATGGAATACATCATACTAATAGAATGAAGGAAAGAAACTATATGATCAACTCAGTAAGTTCAGAAAAAGCATTTTGCAAAACCTAAATAGTTTTTTAGATAAAAACACCAAACAAACTAGAATAGAAGGGAAATTCCTCAATATGATAAAGGCATTTATGGAAAACCTACAGCTACCACTATGCTCAATAGTGAAAGATCGAATGCTTCTCTCTTAAGATCAGAAAAGACAAGGATGCCTGTTTTTGCAACTTCTATTCAACACTGCCCTGGCGATCTAGCCAGGGCAATTAAGCAAGGAAAAAAGAGCTACCCAGACTAGAAAGGAAGAAGAAAACCTATCTCTATTCACAAGTGACAAGATCTTATACAAAGGAACTCTATAAAATCTACACAGAGAAAAATAATCATTTAAGTTAACAAATGAGTTCAGCAAAGTGGTAGGATATAAAATCAATATACAAAAATCAGTTTTATTTCTATACACTAGCAATGAACAATGCAAAAATGAAATTAAGAAAACAATTCCACTTACAACAGCATCAAAGGAATAGAATATGTAGGAATAAATTGAACCAAGGAAGTACAAGGCTTGGACACTAAAAATAACAACAGATTCAATGCAATCCCCATCAAAATGCCATTTGCCCTTTTTGCAGAAATGGACAACTCTATCCTAAAATTTATGTGGAATTGCAGAAGGGATCCCCAACAGCCAAAACAATCTTAATAAAGAACAACAAATTGGGAGACCTAACACTTCCTGATTTCAAACTTTACCACAAAGCTAGAGCAATTAAAACAGTGTGGTACCAGCATAAGGATAGACATACATATTTTTTTTGACATACATATTAATGGAATAGAATCAACAGCCCAGAACTAAACCTATACATCTATGACCAATTCATTTCCACAAGGGTACCAAGACCATTCAATAAGAAAAGAATATAGCCTTATCACCAAATGGTGTTGGGACAACTGAATGTCTACATGCAAAAGAATGAATTTGGACCCCTATCTTACACCACATACAAAAAAGTAACTCAAAATGGATCAAAGATCTAAATATAAAAACTAAAACTTTAAGAAACAGGTGAAAATCTGCATGACCTTGGATTAAGCAATGTTTTTTAAAATATGACATCATAAGCACAGAATTCAAAGAAAAAATAAATTGAACTTTATTAAAATTAAAACCTTTTGTGTGTCAAAGGAGTTATCAAGTAAAAACACAACCCACAGGAAGGGAAAGATCTTTTGCAAATCATGTATAAGGGTCTAGTAGCCATAACATATAAAGAACTCTTACAATTCAACAATAAAAGACAAAACAATTTAAAAATGGACAAAGGATTTGAATAGACATTTTTCCAAAAAAAGAATACCAATGGCCAATAAGCACATGAAAAGATGCTTGACATCATTTGTCATTAGGGAAATGCAAATCAAAACCAAAATGAAATATTGTTGTACACACAGTAGGATGGTTATAATCAAAAAGACAATAGCAAGTTTTGGCAAGGATATGGAGAAATTGGAAGTTTCATATATTGTTGGTGGAAATATAAAGTGGTGCAACCATTTTGGAAAACATTTTGGCAGTTCTTCAAAAAGTTAAACATAAAGTTATCATATGACCCAGCAATTCCACTCCGAAGTGTATATCCAAGAGAATTACAAATACATAGTATGTCAACTATACTCAGTAATAAAAAAGATACATCCATATAAAAACTTATATCTGAATGTTAACAGCAGTATTATTCCTAATAGCCCCAAAGGGGAAAACACTCATCAGCAGATGAATAAACAAACAAAATGTGATTTGGCCCTATCTATTCAGCAATGAAAAGGAATTGGTATGGACTGAATGTGTGCCCCCTCCTTTCACCACCACCACCAAGTCCCTATCTTGAAGCCCTAATCCCCAATTCAATATTTGGAGGTAGGGCTTTGGATGATAATTATGTTTACATGAGGATAGAGGATACATGATGGGATGTGACTATAATTACAAGAGGATGAGGAGATCACAGCTCTCTCTCCCCTCTCCATGTGAAGATAAAGCAAAAGGCAGCCATATACAAGTCAGAAACAGGACCCACACCAGAACCCAACCATTATGGCATTCTGACCTTGGACTTTTCAGCCTCTAGAACTGTGTGAAAGAAATGTCTGTTGTTTAAGCCATCCAGTTTATGGTATTTGTTATAGCAGTCTGAGCTAAGACAGAAATGAAGTACTGTGACACACTATAACATGGATGAACCCTGAAAACATGCCAAGTGAAAGAAGCCAGACACAAAGGCCACATATTATATGAAATGTCCATCCAGGAAGGCACATCCATAGAGAAAGTAAATTAGTAGATGCCAGGTGATGGGGGCAGGGGGGAATTGGGAGTATCTGCTAACAGGTATGGAATTCTTTTTAGAGAAATGCCCCTGAATTAGATAGTGGTGATGGCTGTACACCACTGTGAATATATTAAAAATCACTGAATTATATACTTAAAATTATTAAAATGGTGAAATTTATCTCAATATTTTAAAGGATAAAAATTTTTTTTATGATTTTTATCTAAATCATATTTACAACTGTATATAAAACAGAAGGGATCCCTGGGTGGTGCAGCGGTTTAGTGCCTGCCTTTGGCCCGGGGCACGATCCTGGAGACCCAGGATCGAATCCCACGTCGGGCTCCCTGCATGGAGCCTGCTTCTCCCTCTGCCTGTGTCTCTGCCTCTCTCTCTCTCTCTCTCTCTCTCTCTCTCTGTGACTATCATAAATAAATAAATAAAATCTTTAAAAAAAAAACTGTATATAAAACAGAAACATCTGAAATATAAAATATAGAGTTTTGGATTATTTTTTCTCTTTAAAAACTCTTAATTTTCAGGGTAGCATTTTTATAACAAGAAACTTAAACCAATCTAAATATCCATTATTAGGAAACAGATTAAATAAATTATGATTCAGCCTTCAAAAAGAATGAGATGTTAATTGAAAAAAAAGCAAAGGGCCAAACAGTGGCTCAAGTATGATCCCATTTGTGTTTTTCACATTGTGCAAACATACTTGTATCTGCACAAGCTCTCAACAGTGGTAACCACAGCAGAGTGGGACCTAGAGAATTACTTTTAATTTCATGCCAGTCTGTTTTCACACTTCAATAAGAAAATGTTTGAAATAAAATAATATTTGATTCCTCTCTTGGAATACAACTTCAAAAATTTGGATGGCTTTCAAAGATAGCAGGCATTCAAGTATCTGCTGAATATAACATCTCCTATATGCAAGGAAAGATTCTTCAAATGTTACTGTCTTTTACAATCAGAAAATGGATCTTGCGATAACATGATTTACATTTTCTGATAGACTGCACTCATTATAAGGCAGAATTTCCAAAAAATTTTCCACAAAGCCATTTTACATGCTATATATGCCACAAAAAAATCACTATAGGGCAAAAAACATCCCTACATATGAAGAGAATGCAAAATGGGAAATTATATTTCTGATGAGAACCAAAAATTATGTTTTTATAATAGTGGTTTGTGATATTAGATATATAGAACATGACCCGGATGCAAGGATATTGTGCCTATAAAGACACAAAGGCTATTTCCTATAATTAGGAAGAATATACTTGCTTGGATTTATGCATAAAAAAATACTGATGATATATAATAACGAGAACATTATACAAGTATTAAATTATATGAAAATCCACAGAAGGATACCTGTAACATCAGAGGCCTAAATGGTACATTAGTAAAAACAAAGGATACATGTTCCATCTAATTCTTTATATTGTCAGAGATAAAAATATCAAAATTTCTTCTATTTATGGAGTAATGATGGTAATACAAGAAAAAAAAAACCTACCTGCCATTCAAACTCACTATCTGACCAATCCCAGTATGTGCTAATAGAAGAAGAGACATCACTGCAGACACTCCCCTCAGGGAATAAATCAAAAGAAGTGAAGTCTTGATCATCTAACAGGGAATAGCAATCATCTTGATCTCCAACAGAAACTGAAGAAAATAGCTCCTCACTGCATTCTGAGCTGGCAACACTTGTTCCACAAGAAGTTAAGTTCCACCTTAAAAACACAACACAAAAGAAATCATAACAGGAACTCCAGAATCCCCACAATCTTAAGATATTAATAGAAGATACATTCAAGATATTTATGAAGAATATAAGTATATTTTTAGGTATGACAATGATACTGTGATTATTTTCAAAAGAGCCCTTACCTTTTAAAGATGTATACTAAAACATTTATGAATGATATATATCTGGGATTTTTCTGAAAATAATAAGGGTTTGAGTAATGAGTAGTGATATAAAGCATATTGCCATATGTGAATAATTGTTGAAGCTGGATGATGGATATATGAAGTTCATTACACTATTCCCTTTCCTTTTATATTTGTCTGAAAATTTTTATAATAAAATATTTTAAAAGAAAATTGTATCTAAATTAAGAATAAAGTAAAACCTTCATCTATAAATAAAACATAGGATAGTGGTTATAAATATATTTTGAAGTCAGATTGAGTTCAAATTCTCACTCTTGTAATTTGACTGCTGCTTGATCTTAAGCAAAACACACCCTCTTCAGCCTGTGTTCTCATTTTAAGGAGTTATTATGAAGATTATACAAGAATGCATACAGAACTCTTAGCAGACATAAAAAGTGCTCAATACATGGTAGCTATTATTATTAAAAGAAGAGGGTAGCCATTGCAGGGCAGAGAAAAGCACAAAAAGTACACAGAAGTTCAAGAAGTGTTTAAATAACTTTTACTTACCAGTGCTATAAAAGATCATTGCAAAGATGTTGGAATAAGAAAGGAGTAATAAAGAATATTAAAATGACCAAGAGTTCCATTACTCAATAATAACTAATCCACAATATTTTAGTACATATATATTTTTTGCAGAATCATCATTCTGCACATATATACACACATATATATAGTTTTAGTATCCATTCTTCACTTATCATATATTAAGCATTTCCCTATGTATATTACTTGAAAACATTTTAATGCCTATATAATATTCCACTGATTAAAAAGTCTCATAATTTATTTAACCTTATTCCTTCAATAATACTTAGGCTGTTTCCATTTTTTTTTGGTATTACAAATAATACTGAGATGAACCGTTTTGTTTATAATTATTTATCAACATATATAATAAAAAATAGTGAAAGGGATTATAGGGTTAAGGAGAGAAAATGAGTGGGAAATATCAGAGAGGGTGACAGAACATGAGAGACTCCTAACTCTGGGAAACAAACAAGAGGTAGTGGAAGGGAAGGTGGATGGGGGGATGGGGTGACTGGGTGACAGGCACTGAGGGGAGCACTTCACGGGATGAGCACTGAGTATTATAATATGTTGGCAAATTGAACTCCAATAAAAAAAATATACAAAAAAATACAAAAAAAAAACATATAATCTCTCAGGATAGATTTCTTGAAAGGAAAGTACTGAGTCAAAGAATATCAACACTTCTAAAGGTCATATCATACTTAGTCAAGTGCCTTTCTGTAAGGCTGCATTAATTTACACTCCCTGAAACAGTATATAAAGCATGCTCATTCACCACAACCTTAACAGCACTGGAATTTTCTTTCTTTTCTTTAAAGATTTTATTTATTTATTCATGAGAGACGCAGAGAGAGAGAGGCAGAGGGAGAAGCAGATTCCTTGCAGGGAGTCAGTGGGGCTGGATCCCTAGACCAGGGATATGGGATTTGGGATCATGGCCTGAGCCAAAGGCTGACGCTGAGCTGCTGAGTCTCCCTGGCGCCCCAGCACTGGAATTTTCATTTTTAAAGTTTCACCTATCTGGTAGGAAAAACCATTTTTACGTCAATTTTCATTTCTTCAATTACTAGCAAGATCAAATTTTAAAATATTTGCTATTTTGCTCTAGTGTTTTTCTATGTGGTAATGTTTTCCTTACTGATTTTATAAGTTCTTAGTGTATTAAGAATATTAACATTTTGGGATCCCTGGGTGGCGCAGTGGTTTGGCGCCTGCCTTTGGCCCAGGGCGCGATCCTGGAGACCCGGGATCGAATCCCACGTCAGGCTCCCAGTGTATGGAGCCTGCTTCTCCCTCTGCCTGTGTCTCTGCCTCTCTCGCTCTCTCTGTATGACTATCATAAATAAATAAATAAATAAATAAATAAATAAATAAATAAATAAATAAATAAATAAATAAATAAAAGAATATTAACATTTTGCCTGTGGTATCTGTTGCAGCGTTACTTTTGTCTTTATTTAATTTTTTTTTAATTTTTATTTATTTTATGATAGTCACACACACAGAGAGAGAAAGAGGCAGAGACATAGGCAGAGGGAGAAGCAGGCTCCATGCACCAGGAGCCCGACGTGGGATTCATCCAGGGTCTCCAGAATCGCGCCCTGGGCCAAAGGCAGGCGCCAAACTGCTGCGCCACCCAGGGATCCCTACTTTTGTCTTTAAATCTACATATCTTTCTTATGTAAATTTCCACTAGCTTCATACATTAACAAGATAATCTTCATTGCTTAGGCAGTAGCCTACATAATTAATCCTTAAGGTAATTATTTAATACATTGGATACTAATAAAATACTGAAATAATGGCTTCCTGAAGAAAAGCCTGTTACTTATCTATTATTAGGTTGTTTCTCATCTTTCATTAAATCTATTTTTTTCTTGAACTGTTTTTCATTTTTTAACTCTCCCTCCCTTATTTTGTATTACTAATCTTAATTTCAAAGTTCTTGGTTTGCAAAATTTGGGCAATCCGACAATTTTATGTCATTTTTCCTTTGAGCTAAAGGTAGAATATTTTAAAGGTTCAAAACACACACATGACACTCTCTAAACTATTATGGTTCAATAACTATAAACACAGATATCAACAAGCTTTTATAAATAGGCAAAAATCTCAAATTCATCTAACATCTTAGAATACCTTGTAATATTACCTAGTTTCACCATATGCTTCCTAGGCAGGCAGTATCCTCATTTTTTAAAAAATCAAACTTAGAACTAACCAAATTGTTCAGGATGTACAATAAGGCAATATAAAAGCTAAAAAATGACAAACACTCTCTTAGATCTAGTAAACCATTACCTATGCTGTATTCTGGGCAAATTATTTTTTTCTTTTTTTGTCTTCAAAATGCTAGTGGCAAAAAAGAAATGCTAGTGGCTTTTTCAACCTTTATTCATTCAGCCACTCAACAACCATTTAGTTAGGATCTTCTATGTACCAAGTATCATGTTATGTGGTAGGAAAAGCTGTTAGGTAATTGTTTTCAATAAAAATTTTTGAGCTTGCAAAAATTCAGTAGAAATGTGTTTCCTTCTATAATTATGACTTTCCTTTTCAGAAAACTATGCTAGATTTGATAATCTAATGTTTAAATCACTGACAGGACAGTTATTTGCTTGGTTTTGTGTATGTGTGTTTTAAAGATTTTATTTATTTATTTATTTGACAGAGAGAGAGAACACAAGCAGAGGGAGCAGCAGGCAGAGACAGGGAAAAGCAGGTTCCCTGCAGGGAGCCTGATGTGAGGCTCAATCCCAGGACCCTGGGATCATGACCTGAACCAAAGGCAGACGCTCAAATGACTGAGCCACCCAAGAGCCCCCCCCCAAGTTTTGTGCTCTTAATGTAGGGCAAAATCAGTATCTTTCTCAGTTTTCCAGGTCCATGTCTTTATAAGAGATTTAATAGGATTCTGGCTATTCTTAGGAGCTTTTGCTATTTTTTTTTACAGTGACTTAAAAAAGGTTCATATTCGAAACCAATCATTTACAAAATAGAAACATTTTTACTACTAGACATTTTTTTAAAGATTTATTTATTCATGAGAGACACAGAAAGAGAGGCAGAGATATAGGCAGAGGGAGAAGCTCCTCTGTGGTGAGCCTGATGTGGATCTTGATCCCAGGATCCCGGGATCAGGACCTGAGCAAAAGGCAAGTGCTGAACCATTAGCAGGTGCCCCACTCCAAGAGATATATATTTTTTAATTCTATTATCTTCTAATTTCCAAATATTATTTTTATTATTACCTTAAGGCAATGTGAACAAAAACAAAGTAGGCAGTAGTACGTTTATCCACTGCTGTTAGTAGTGTTAGTGTTAAATTGGCATAATCTTTCTGAAAAACAGGAAGACTGGTACTTGGTACTGTATATACATCAAAAGCTTCAAAAAGTTCATTCCTTTGGACCCAGTAATTGCCCTTCTAGGAATTGATCACTTCCTCAAATTGAAATTGGGAAAAAGATTTAAGACCAAACATGTCCAAATAGTCTCATTTATAATAACCAACAAAGGAAAAAGAAATGTCCCCCAAATATGGGGAATAAATAATATATCTAAATAATGGTGTTTTATAATCATTAAAAATTATATTTTCAGGAAACACCTGGTCGGCTCAGTTGAGCCCTCGACTCTTGATTTCAGCTCAAGCCATGATCTCAGGATTGTGAGATGGAGCCTCATGTAGGGCTCTGTATACTCCTTGCAGGGTGTGCTTGTGGTTGTCTCTCTCTCTGCCCCTCCCCCTGCTCACACACTCTCTCATCCAAATAAATAAATAAAATCTTTTTTAAAAATATTGTATTTTCAGCCTATTTTTTGAAAACAAAAATGCTCACAATGTAAGTATAAAAACCTGGTCACAAATCATATATAACCTGATCCTGATTTTTTGAATTATATATGAACATAAAAAGAATATTAAGGGCACCTGGGTGGCTCAGTGATTAAGCATCTGCCTGTCACTCAGGTCCTGATCCCAGGGTCCTGGGATCGAGTTCCTCATTGGGCTCCTCACAGGGAGCTTACTTCTCCCTCTGCCTATGTCTCTACCTTTCTTTTTGTGTCTCTCATGAATAAATAAATAAAATCTTTAAATAAAAAAAGAATATTACAAGTAACAACATCAAAATGCTGACAGTTGTTATCTTTACTGAAAGGGATCATGAGTGATCTTTAGAGTTTTGTATATGCCAATTTTCTAAAGTGAGCTTTTATAATAAAAATTTAAGTGTGATTCTTTTAGACTATTCTGTTGGTTTCAAACATGTCATGAATGACCACTGTGCGCATGTGCTTAGTGCTGAACTATTCAAATCTGCAAAGTTCTTATATCTTATTCCAGTAGGAGAAAGCTACCTAAGATTCTAGTTATAACCATAAAATTATTCACAAAGTAGACTTTCTACCTTAAAAGAAAATATTGAGAAGACTCCTAATGAGGGCACCTGGGTGGCTCTCTCGGTTAAGTGTCTGCCTTTGGCTCAAGTCATGATCTCAAGGTCCTGGGATTGAGCCCCATATTGGGCTCGCTGCTCAGTAGGGAGCCTGCTTCTCTCTCCCCTTCTCCCTCTACCCCTCCTCCCACCGCTTGTGCTCTTTCTCTAGTGTTCCCCCTCAAAAGAATAAATAAAATCTTAAAAAAAAAGAATCCGAATGAAATGGAGTTTAATTCAATAACTAGGCTTGCTGCCCAAATTTCAGTTTAAAAAAAACTAAAGCTGAGAAAATTTATCTACAAAGCTTATCTGTCAAAACCCCCATATAGCCACCCCCTACCTCTGCTACAACTCTGGAGCACAGAAGGCCATCAAGGTCCCAAGTTAGAGCAGATGACACAACCCCCCCCCCCACGCTACTCAAATGCCCAACTCTCCTAGAGATCTCAATTGTCTTCATATCATTATCCATCCCTCCTACCCTCTCTGTAGTCTTGGAAGGAAAAAAAATGCCATGTCATTTCTAAGACTAATTATTCCATTCATGTTCTGAGTTCATCCCAGTCATCTCCTGTCATCCCACACTCTCCTCTTACTTTCAGTTTCTCCCTTTCCTGTGGGCTGCTTCTAAGGAGCTAAAAATCTCTATTCTTAGAAAAGAAAAACTAAACAAGGCAAACAAACAACAATGAAACATTCAACTTTTTTTTTCAGATTACCACATCTCCTCTCCTTCCTTTCCCTGCTAAATTTATTGAAAAGTTTCTTCTTCTCTCAACCTTTCTAAGGCACAGTTCTACTCCTAACACATTACTGTTCTACTGTTCTTTCTATTCCAAATGCTCTCAAATCCGTATTTCTAGCCTGGATAATTCTCCCAAGTCTGATCCCTATTCTCAGTTTGCCTCAACAAATCCCTAAACCAAATTCCTCCTGCCTTTATAATCTGTTACTTCATGGAGCATGGTTCCCCCACCTGCAAATCACAGCTCTTCTGCAACTGTTAATTCTATATTGATAGGAAGCCTGTGGGTAGTACAAAAGATACACAGTAGTCTTGAGGCTCTTCTGGTTAAGGTCATTGAAACAGGGCTCTAAAATCAAATAACTGAGTAACTGCTTTATACAATAGTTCATTTCCTATCCTGCCAATAGGGTGTACAAAAGTGAGGCACTGTCCTCCCACATGCTTTTCACAATTGTTCAAAGTACTGATGTACTACTATTAAAGATGAAAAGAATAACACATCAAGTAGTTCATATTAACCTCCTTCATCTCACAATTTAATTACAGGGCAGCCCTGGTGGCACAGCGGTTTAGCGCCGCTTACAGCTCAGGGCGTGATCCTGGAGACCCTGGATCAAGTCCCACGTCAGGCTCTCTGCATGGAGCCTGCTTCTCCCTCTGCCTGTGTCTCTGCCTCTCATTCTCTCTCTGTGTCTCTATGAATAAATAAATAAATAATCTTAAAAAAAAACAATTTAATTACAGAACTTACCAGTATCATAGTAATTTTTTTTTCAATTTGGTAAATGACTTCCCTTTTTGATAATGGTGGAGGTTGCCATGGACAAATGCTAAGAAAAAACTCACAATTATATCATAAATATCCTGTCCCAAAACCAAAGAAAAATGCCTTAAACACCACATATAGTCCATATTAACATTTAAGTTAAAAAATAATTGGGGTGGGGATCCCTGGGTGGCGCAGCGGTTTGGCGCCTGCCTTTGGCTCAGGGCGCGATCCTGGAGACCCGGGATCGAGTCCCACATCGGGCTCCCGGTGCATGGAGCCTGCTTCTCCCTCTGCCTGTGTCTCTGCCTCTCTCTCTTTCTCTGTGACTATCATAAATAAATTTAAAAAAAATAATAATTGGGGTGTCTCAGTCAGTTAACTGTCTGACCATGGTTTCACCTCGGGTCATGACCTCAGGGTGGTAAAATCGAGTCCCGTATCAGTTTCAGTACTGAGCCTGCTTGAGATTCTTTCTCTCCCTCTCCTTCTGCTCCTTCCCCCTCTCATGTGCATGCTCTAATAAATAAATAAACCATTAAAAAATAATCAAGTTTCTTGGTTTATTGAAATTTATTTTCAGGGCACCTGGGTGGTTCAGTCAGTTAAGCGTCTGCCTTCGGCTCAGGTTATGCCAGGGCTCCCTGTTCAGAGGGGAGTCTGCTTCTCCCTCTCCCTCTGTTCCTCATACTCATGCTCTCTTTCTCTCAAATGAATAAATTAAAAAATCTCTAAAAAATTTTGTTTTTTAAAAAAGACTTTATTTTTATATGGTCCTCTCAAATGCCATCTTGAGGAGGGCTAGGAAGGCAGAACATTCCAGAATGAGAGAACATTTAAAAAGCCTAGGTGGTCTAGGGCAGAAACATCATCCAATGTAAATACTGCAACTTCTGCTTGCCCTAATCTCTGTTGAAAAGGGTACAAAGCAAAATACATTAGATCTCCTACTGTCATCCCAAGCCTTGAGAAAAGTAGGGCAGGAGAGAGAGGTTTTTAAAAAGCAGGCAAAATGTTTGACTTGGGAAAACTGGGGATGAACAGGAACCTCCCTGTCCATATTTTTTTTAATTTTTTAAGATTTATTTATTTATTTATTTATGAGAGAGAGAGAGAGAGAGAGAGAGAGAGAGAGAGGCAGAGACACAGGAGGAGAGAAGCAGGCTCCATGCCCGGGACTCCAGGATCGCGCCCTAGGCCAAAGGCAGGCGCTAAACCGCTGAGCCACCCAGGGATCCCCTCCCTGTCTATATTAACTGCTCCATTCTGGAAAACAACCTTGACCTTACCTCTGTCTCTAAGAAAAGGAGTAGGAAAACACAAGAGAAAAATGGAGAGGAAGAAAAAGAACAAAATGAGCCGTAAGAAATGTATTCTTCTCCTTGCTTCACTCATCACCCCAACAGTTTTGGCAGTGCTTACCCTCAGCCTCCTTCCCCACTCCCTTGCCATCATCATCAGTGCAGGCTAATTCTGAAATCATTCAACTTTCCTGTGTATAGGACTTGCTCCAATGTTGCAAACCTTAAATACCAAATATGTGCAAAAGTATTCTTTTACATTGTTTTCCAATGCAAACAATCCTAAACACACTTGATATCATAAATCCATTACACTCATGTTATAATCACATCATGGGTTAAATAAGCTTCTGTGAGTCAGTCTAAGAAACTATAACAACCGTTTAAAACATTTGTGCCATTAGTTCTGTTCCAAGTTTCATCACTGGCTCCAATGAAGTAATCTTGGCTTTGCCTACTGTTTTATGACCTTGAACTCAGTCTTTCCTCTCTGGGCCTCAGTTTCCTCATTTTTGCAATGACGATTGGAAAAGTGGTAATAAATTTACTACCACTTCCTTTTCCAATGTGTTATACTGATGTTCTGCATGACCGTTTAACATGTCATTTCCAGACTCTTTCTTTCAGGTAAGAATCATGTTTTATACATTCTTTGCATCTGGTAGAAGCTCAGTAAATCTGTAGAGTGATTTAAGAGGTGGTGGAGGGCATGCAAAAGACATTATAAGATGGAAGGATTTGTTCATGCTGATATTGTGAACTAGAAATCAGAACTAGACTCCTTAATTCAATTCCAGTATTTTCTTTCCATAGCTGAACCCATCTCCTCCCTTGTTCTACATACACCCTCCCAAGCCTTGGTATGTATCTATCAAATATCCACTTTGGGGCTTCTGTGTACAGGTTGGGGCTACGTGTACACCATCTTCGCAATCTTCACATTTGGTATTAACACTTAAATGCTTACATGAGAGAATTCTCCAGAACACTCTAGCTTCCAATAAAATCAGTTAGGAAATGTGCCCTCTGAGTAAATTTGTATAAGCCCATTCTAAGCTTAGCTTCGTCCTTCCACTGGGGGGGCAAACCAAGGGATATGCTACATGAAGGAATCTTCGAGATTTAAGGTTATACATTTTGGCAGGGCCTAAAATGGTAAAGCAAAGAGTTCATAAGGAGGTCTTGTTTCCTATACCTTCACCAAAAAAAAAAAAATGGGGTGGGCAGTGTAAATTGGGCCGGGAGGCAGATTAAAAATCGGGAAAAGGAAGATTCTACCTTTAAAAGTGCCATCTTAAAAATAAATAAATAAATAAATAAATAAAAGTGCCATCTTTCAAAAGATCCATACATAGATTGGTTTTGAGCCATCCAAAGTCTACTCTAGAGCGTATGGGAGATGGAAGGGGTTAAACTTTTTGGGGTCGATGGAGTAGGGATGCATCTTAAAATTGAGGGTGGAGATTTGGGATTCTCTGGGCACAGATGGGGTGGGAGGGGAAAGGGAGGAATCGCTATGATCAGATGATAAATGGGGAAAGGAGAGCAAGTAAAATGCCAGACCAAAGGAAAATCGGGAGGGCTAGGATGAAAATAGGGAGAGGGAACAGGGAAGGAGCTCTGGTCGCAAGAAGATGGGGGAGGGGACGAATGGAAGCGCAGACCCGAGGAGGAGCGCCAGGTTCGGGAGTGAGCCAGCGTTCTCCAGTTTGAGTCAGGGGTGTGGGCAGTTAGCCCCTGCCCTCAGCAGCAGTTCGTACCTGTTGGTGTGGAAACGGTGGAGTGGATCCGTGCGATGACAAGAGGACAGCTGGCAGCCGAAGTCGCTGATGTCCAGGCAGCCTGGCTCCTCGCTCGGGCAGGTGCCCACCCCGCGAGGGGGTCCCAGGAGCGGGAAGGGCTCCTCGGGGGTTAGAAACTTCTCATACGAAGTGGTGGCCGACGTCTCGTCGGACATGGCTGGAGATGGCCTGGCTTTGGGCTCCCTCCCTGGCCCGGGCTGCTTCTGTGCCTGCCCCTTCCCCCACTCTAACCTGTCCGCCTCTGCTGAGCCGGGGTGTGCCCACCGCAGCTCACCAGCAGGCTGAGCTCCACAGCCAGATGCCGCTCGGTGAATGCCGACCGCGCTAAGAGGCTGCTAGAGGCCACAGCAGCCCACTGGCCACCCAGTCAGCGCCTCAGTGGCCTCGGCAGCCGTCTCCGTCGCCGCCGCTGCCCGGCCCAGCCCAGTCAGCGCAGCGCAGCGCCGCTGACCGCAGCGCCACCGCCGCTGCCGCGCCCGGCCCGCCCACTGCGCTCGCCACTTGCGACTGCTGCAGTCCGCCGACGCCCGCCGGGAGGAAAAAGGCGGTGGGAAGCTGCTCTCTATGCCCCCTGCTGGAGCGGAGGAGGAACTGAACCTCCGCCCAACCGCCCTCCACGCGTGAGCGTGGGATTTCTGGCGCTGGAAAGGCCCTGCGCTTCAGGCCAACCACCTCTGTTTTCTCACCCAGGGCTGATTAATAAGCAGGAAGCGGCAGCCCTGAGAAAAGGGACTTGGCTAAGGTCACACTGCGAGTGCGTGAGAAAGAGTCCAGATGCCCTGGTTCCCACTGTACTAGACCACCCTGTCCCAATTAAATGATCCCTGCAGTGTGTGTGCCCAGCACTGTGCAATGAGCTGTAGGGAAGATGGGCCAAGTAGGAAAAAAATAGTCCCTGCTTTACCCTTGATCTTCTAACCCTGAGAACTCTACACAAAAGCCAACAGGCTACTCAGAGCTGCTGGACACGTAGTGCTCTTTTGTGCTCTGTGCTCTTGCTTGCATTATTCATTCTGCTTAGAATGCCTTGCTGGTTTTCTCCCCTGCTAATTCTTAAAGCCCCAGCTCAAATGTTACCTCCTCTGTGAAGCCTTCCCTGACTCCCGAATGAGTCTTATGTATTCCTACCAGTGCTCCAGTGGAAAGTATATTATAGCGCTTTTAACTTGTTCAACTTAAGTCAACTTGCTACGTGTCAAATACCACCATTATTTCCTCCTCTTTCTCTTTTCTCTGTTTTACAGACAAGTGGTTGCAGACCTTTCACGTATAAACACTTTTTTTATATATATTTTTTTAAAGTGAAGGAGGATGATTGATTTTTTTTTATTTTTATTTATTTATGATAGTCACACACAGGGAGAGAGAGAGAGAAGTAGAGACACAGGCAGAGGGAGAAGCAGGCTCCATGCACCGGGAGCCCGACGTGGGATTCGATCCCGGGTCTCCAGGATCGCGCCCTGGGCCAAAGACAGGCGCCAAACCGTTGCTCCACGCAGGGATCCCACTTTTTTTATATTTGGAGTAAAACACAAGATTTCCAATTTCTTACTTTGCCAAATGAAGATAATTTTTTAAACTGCTACAACTTATAAAATGAAGCACATTTTCATATAAAATAAGGGAATAATCTCTTAATTAAAAATTAAATACATTTAGCTTTATGGAAAAACACACTACATTAAACTTTGAGAGAAACATAAAACTAAAGTAGGTGTAGAAAAAAGGAAAAGTGAAAGAACCTAGGAGGAAGGGAAGGAGAAAGGAGGTTGGGAGAAATGGACAGTGGGAACACACAAGCCCCAGTTTTAATCTCTGTGATATGTCCTACCAATGCAACTTATAATGAAAACAACTCAACCACTCCTTTAAAATTTATATATTATCTCAATTTAGTTATTCGATGACCTGACTGTTGAGTGTGCCTGTCTTCTTTCATTTAACTTAAAAATCATGGATGTAAGGTTGATGATGGTTTGATTTGTGGTCCCCAATGCACCATTCCCAGTGAGCCTGAATGGGCAATGGCTTAGTCCCCAAAACAAAAGTCAAGTGCTACATAATAATGTAGGTACTCAGGTAATTGCACCAGAAACTATTAGTAAGAAGCTAACAAAATAGTCTAATTTAAATATAATTAATAATAATTAAATATATATGTATTTACACATACTGTACATATATACATATATATATTTACACATACTGTAACAGGACAGTGTTGTTCAAACTGGAGTCTAATGACAGCATCTGCAAGCTTTTTTACAGGTATGTTTTACTTTGACATTTAATTTTAAGCATATCCTGGAGTATCTGGATGACAATGGTAACTAACAGCTGCCACATAATTAGGACATGTATTTGAACCTGTTTTAAAAATCAAGTTGGCAACAATACTACTTTAATTGTCATGAGCTGGTAAAAAAATAAATTAGGTGTACCTCCTACTTCATGGCTTAGTACAGATGAATATTGTCTAATAGTTTGGAAAGGGAAAGTGATGGGAAACCAAGATCCTCACAAGATTCACATACAAGCAAGTATGTTGAAAACCAAGAACACATGCTGGCCAGTCAGTAGTATGTTCAGGTTTCTAAGGGTAGTTTTGTCTCAGCAAACGTGTACCACATTAAATTAATATTTGTGCACAATTTGTAAATTTACTTTGATGTTAAGTTTCTACAGAGCCTTATGAACAGCAGAGTTTCTATTTAGTCTCATGTTTGTTTACGTTTAAGAAATATTATTAAAAGAATTTACATAAATGCTTGAGCCTAAGAGACTGTTTTCCTTTAAGAGAGATCCCTCCAATATATTTCTCAGTTGAGAAACACTAATTAGATACTGAGAGCAGTAAACAGGGTATGTGCACTGTATGTATGTTCACTTAAATATAAGGTAATAATGTACTAATGCATTTTTACCAAGCTCTTTGCCACTAGGAGTTGATGACTTTTGTACATCCTTCTTCCTTGCCCCACTTTGTTTGGTTTGTCCCTTGAGTATACCTATTCTGAATGCATTTCCCCAATTTATCCCTCCCTTCCATTCTCCACCAAGATCTTTCCTAATTTTTATCTCTGAAAACATGGATATAGTAGTTCCCTACCTTCTCTGAGGGTCTGGGCCTGGAAAGAATCATTGGGATGATCTGCCTTCTTCTGATGCATAATTTACCTCCCAGAATGGTGATGGGCTACAAGAGGTGGTAAACAGTCTTCGTCATTTTGGTTACTATTGGATAGAAATATATTAGACTTGACCCAATGATCTAACCTCTGTTAATTTTTTCATGTGATTGATGTGTGTATGTAGCTATATCTACATCTAGATATATAAAATTTCATATATAAAAGTTATGTTGAAATATATGTCTATTGTATATAATATACTTATTATATATATAAAATTAGCTCCCCAAAGATCACCAACACAACCTACTGATAAAACAATGCCTCAGTGTATTATTCATCAGTTTGTGGTCCACATTTCAGCCAGGAACCATGTGCCCATGTTAAACCAAGGGAATAATAGATCTCAGCCCCAATCCAAAGAGCCTGTAACCAGGTATGAGGTTGTTCTCCAAATTACCCAGGCTCTGATTTATAAGGACAGTTGTCTTTGGACATAGGGCCCACTCAGGTAATCCAGGATAAGGTCCTTCTCTCAGAATCCTTAATTTATTCGCATTTTTTTTGTTTTTGCCATATATAGTTACAGACACTATTTTGCCATATTAAATAATAGTTACATGTTCCAGGGATGAGGAAGTGGAAATATCATTAGGCGACTAACATTGAGCCTGTCACAGTAGCATTGTCTGAACTGCTTGCTATGCTCTGAACCACAGCATGTAGCATTTGCTCTGCTTTCTGGACCTCTTATAAAACATGAAATTAAGAAGGCTGAGGAGAGAAAAAAGAAATCGACAATTCCTCTAAAGTAGTTAGGGTTTCAATTCTCAAATCAGAGACCCCTAACTTCTTTTCCTTTCTTGAATCAAATTATTTGCTGATCCTTTTTGCTGGAGGACAAAATCAGTGGGCCCAAATATATGATATCAGAAACAATCCCAGTAATAAAGCCAATTCTCAAAGTTTAGACAAAATATCTAGAAGGTTAATTACTGAACCTATTTTCAGCAAAGATAGTATTACCTCTGATTTACAAAAAATTAATGAAAACAACTTTTTTAAAGGAAAAAACTTGAGATGTCTGGGTGGCACAGGTTATTAAGCATCAGACTCTTGGTTTCTTCTGAGGTTATAATCTCAGGGTTGTGGGATAGAGCCCTTTTGTCCAGCTTCATACTTTGCTTGGACTCTGCTTCAGATTCTCTCTCCCTCTCCCTCTGCTCCTCCCACTTCTGCTCTCTTGCTCATTAAAATGAATCTTTAAAAAAAGAAAAAACAAGATATAACATATAATAATACAGACATATAATGTACCTTCTATACTAAGAATATACCAAACATACAGAAGAATATATATTGGTAGAATATGAAAAATATCAAAGAGATTCAGTAAGTCTGGAGTAGGTACAAAAATCTATATTTTAATGGATTTAATGGACAATCCATAACTGTCTGATGTGAATCTTTAATTAAAAACCACTGGCCTGGGATCCCTGGGTGGCGCAGCGGTTTGGCGCCTGCCTTTGGCCCGGGGCGCGATCCTGGAGACCCGGGATCGAATCCCACATCGAGCTCCCGGTGCATGGAGCCTGCTTCTCCCTCTGCCTATGTCTCTGCATCTCTCTCTCTCTCTCTCTCTCTCTCTCTCTCTCTCTCTGTAACTATCATAAATAAATAAAAATAAAATAATAAAATAAAAATTTAAAAACCACTGGCCTTCCGGGGCACCTAGGGCAGCTCAATCGATTAAGCTTCTGCCTTCAGCTCACATCAGGATCCTGGGTTCTGAGATCATGCCCCATGTATTTGGTCTCCCTGCTCATCTGGGAGCCTGCTTCTCCTTCTCCTGCTGCCTGCACCACCACCACCACCACCACCACCACCACCACCACCCCCGCCCCTCATGCTCTGTCTCGGCTCTTTTTCTTTCAACGAAATAAAATCTTTAAAGAAAACCACTGGCCTTAAAATGCTAAATTCATGGGAAGTAAGATGTGGCCAAGTAAACATTTATAATAATAACTGAAATTATAACACTATATTGCTGTTGCCTAATATTCTCAGGCAAAACACTACCAGGACTCTGATAAATAGAAACATTATGGAGACTAGGGGCATTGAGAAATCTCTAGGTACTTCCCATAAAGAATATAATTTCTGAAATTTTTATATTAATAACATTTTCTCCATTTAAATTTAACTTGGGTAATTCTGAGCATTTCTTCTAATTGGACAACTCTTCCCATGCAACTCATCAATAGTAACACTGAATAAACATAACAGTTTCTAGCACCTCTCTTTTTATA